TTCTCACATGTTCCAACAGTGAGATGATGGACAAGATAATCTCACCAAAAGGTAGTTCCAGCTACCAAAAAAAAAACCAAACTCACAGTGCTTTTGTATTATGGTTATTTTATTAATCATCATCATCACTTGGAAATGTGAAGGATTTACATTGTAATAATAGTAACACTGTAAACAAGCATTTTGATTAATGTAAAAAAAAAAAAATTACAAAAGCTTACATTTATATTTCTTAATGGTATTTTCAATTCAACCCAAAGTTCTATTCTTCAGTATCAAAGGTTTAAAATTATCCAGGGTCCCTTGCACTTTCATAGTAAGCAATCAAAGTTTTGCTTTCACCCTGGAATCTTAAAAGTTTTTTTTTTTTTTTTTTTCTATCATTTCTATCATGCACTGTGACATGCACTTACTAGTCTTTAAGCAAAGCTGAAGCAAAAGACTTGCCTTCAATCTGTAACACCAAGTCTGTAACACTGAATTTGTCTTTATGAGTAAAAAAAAAATTGCTATTCTTTTCAATTTTCTGAGTAATGGAATCTCTTGCATCTTCTAATTATTCTATAGTCCTTAATCTTTAAAACACAAAACATATCTGTTAACCAATTTTATTTCCATTATTTTTGGTTTCTATTCTCACTTTAAATATTCTGTCTATAGAAGGAGCTTACAGATCCAACAAAATCCTTCCTGAGCATTTTTCCCACAGTTATTAGGAGTGAAACCCCATAGATAGCATTTGTACTTCTGAATAAATTTAATCCCTGCCTTATCTATGTTCTGCCTTTAATTGAAGTGTTGCTGGCCTCATCAATTTTTTGGTTTCTAAAATTTAGCCTTTCCAAAATGCTAGGGTTTTGTTACTTATCAGTATTTTGTTATTCCTGCAATTTAGCAGTATCTGAATTTGTTCATGACTACAGGTTTCAAAACCATCTTCTACTACCTGCACCTTTGCCATATTCTCTCTACTTGATAGATGAGCTGCTTCTATTTGACAGGTTGTTAACTTTTTTTAGATGAACCATGTCCATCATGTCTTGGGACATCTAGGTGCATGCCAGTAACTTTATTTCTAATTCTTGTATAGTAAATAAAATGTGCACTAAATTTGCAAAGTATGTGATAAATGGCAATTTAACTACTTTATCAACATAGATTTTTCAATATATTTTCAGATTAATTCATCTGATTTAAAATAGTTTTGCAGTAAATTGCCAGGGTGTGGGTGGATGACACACTTATCTGATACTTCAAGTAGTCACGCTGTACAGGAACCAGACATGATTCTTTCCAGTAGTTAACTTGCCACCTGACATCGCAAATTGCTCTGTGAAGAGTAGATTCTCCATGTCAATTTATTTGTAGTATCAGACCTCAACTTTTTTTATGTTCCAAGAATGCTAAGTGATAACTCAATTCTCAATTACATTGCTCTGCCAGTGTAAAAAAATCCACAGCATGTACATAAATGTCTTGCTGACTGCAATCTCTCTCTTTGATTTTTCAAAGAAAGACTGTAGGCACCTACCATCAGGCAAAGATTTTAAGCTCTCAACACACAATGTGAGGCACACAAATGTGAGAAATCCGAGTATGTGATAATTCTAAGCAAGGCACATACGTGATAATTCTGAAAAATGCACCTAAATGCTTCAGAGGGACAGAATTTAAAACTCATTATTATTGACTAGTTTCAACAGCTCCCCACCATAGAATCCGTAGGAATAATAAATGCCTTATTGAAAGATAACATACAATCCTGAAAACCTGAACCATTGGGGAGAGTTGAGGATTCATAAGGCAAAGAAACTGACTCAATTTTAGTGCAATACTGCAACGTAAAGGAGCTGCTGAGGCCCAGAAATGTATAAAAGAGATTGAACACGAATGGAGTAATTTTATGTCTTTATACAAAGCTAGAAGAACAGTATTAGGATAGTCATCTGAACAAATACAAAAAAGAAAACTACTGGCTGGATATTAATTTTACAGAATAGAGCTTTAGAACCTACTGTGAATTTTAAGCTAAGACTGAGTGAATTGCTGTGCTGTTGCAAAAATCAAATGTTACTGTAAAGGATAACAAGAATGTGAAGTAATCCTTATGCTCTGTTCAGCATTAGGAAGGTCTTATCTGGAGTATTGTGCCCCATTTTTGTTAGGAGATTTAGTTTCTGGTGGTAAGGATAGTTAAGCATTTCCTAGAGAGGTTATAGACTCTCCAGTGGTGGAAGCCTTTTAAGAACAGGTTAGATAAACCTGGATCAAAAATGGGTATAGCTGATCCTGCCCTGGAGCAGTGGATGAACTGGATAACCTTGCCTAGTATCTGTCCAGACCTATTTTGTATGAATGCTATGAATTTTACAATTATGTGAATAAAACATACAGCTCTGGTAGGATATTGAATTATAGCAGAAAGTACAGAAAAACTGAAAAATTGATGTTAAAAAAGTCGTATTTTAGTAAGACATTTAAAAGAACTTAAGCTACTTTTCCGAAGTTGAAAAGTAATTGCATTGAAGATGAAAAATACTCATAGAGAGAATGCTAATTCTGGTACTATCTCTAGGTACGTAGAGAAATATAATAAGTAAATAAATAATAATAATAATAATAAAATAACACCGACTAGAACCTAGACAAGTTTATACTGGAAACAATGCCAAGTTGTTAATGAGATGTCAGCCAATGAGGCAATCCCAAACCAGAATTTGAGGCAGAGACCTTTCTGAAAGATGTGTTATGGGGAAGTTTTACTTCAACAAAAATAAAATGTGCAAGTATAGGGGATACATACATTTTGATTTCTGATTTGATTACCAAGTGGTGCCTTCTAACTTTACATGTTAACCAACCTATAAAATACTTTTCCTTCTTTGAAACTTCTTGGTGTATTCAAAGTTTTGTTCTCAGTTTTCTGAAGAGTCTTTTAGAACTACAGCAATATAAACAACTTCAATTGCTATGTTTCTTTTAGAAAAACAACAACAACAACAAGTATTACAATCCTTTAGCCAGAAATATAGTACAGTCTGATAGGTTCTATTTTGTAATGATGGAATATCTCAATTCATAGGGCATAAAAGAACTGTTTGTAGGGTAAGTAACAAATCTCCCTGTTTGGAGGAAAAAAAAAAAAAAAAGTCCATATGCTTGCAAGGTAAAGAAGAACTGCTACCTGCCTGGAAATTGCCAATATTTAACAGGTTCTATCTGGACTTTCATTTTTTGTCTCAGCATGGGCCCCATTATAGGGAAGATGAAATTGGGCCCAGAGGGAAAAAAATAAATAAGCAGATCCCCTGTAATTGGCATTGGTTTCACTGGCATTGCAAGTTTTCAGCTTTTTTCAGGATCAGGTCCCCTACATTTTATGTTCATCTTCCTGGCTATATTTCTGTAAGTCTAATTAGTCTTTAAGTTGGAAATGACAGCAGGGGAACTATTCTTTCTAAAAAAAAAAAAAAAAAAAAAAAGAAAACAAGCTTGCATCTGTCTTGCTTTCCAAACTAGCAGAGCTCTGTGCTTAACAGGAATAAAAATAAATGATGAATTTCATGCCTTTAAAAAAAAAAAAAAAGTTGGTGTTCCAGTGAATCACAGATTAGATGTCTTCACTTGTCTAGAAGATACCAGAATTTCTGAGCAATAGAAATTCCAGTGGGATGGGATGGCTAATTCCTATGCTATATTTTCCAGTGCTATTGTCATAAGCTATATGCATATGCAATTTTCTTGCCTTTGCACTTTAGGTATAGTTCGCATTTTGTGGGCACACTGAAGGCACATTTTCTCAGATATTCTACTGTAGTATACAGTAAGAAGAGAAATTATTTTTAAAGTAACTTTGACACAAAAAACTCATGAATATATTCATAAAGTCAATATTCCCATAGACTCTCAGACCTTCAAAAATTTTGTGAAGACTGTAGATTAAGAATTCAATGAACACTTGGGGAAAGAATGTAATTGCCTTCCAACCTTGTTAGGTAATACAAGGGAAGTAGCAACAATCAACAGAGAAGGAACAGTCTTTATGAACTGAAAGAAAACACATACATACATGCAACACTGAACAGAGGATAGATGGTTTGAATGTGTATGAAACATAATGATACATGTTTCCATTCCACCATTCCATGCAGGAAGCAAAAACAAAACAAAACAACAACAACCAAATAAAAAAGAACCAACCAACCAAAAAACAAATAAATAAGAAGACTAGATCTTAAAGGAATAATAAGTAGATATTTCTTGCCTTTGCAGTTTTTGACAAATGTAGGTCACTATTTACCTGTTCAAAGAAACACATTGCTAGTTTCACTGATTAACAAGTTTAGGTCTAAACCCTGAATACCCCCCCCATAGAGTAGGTGTGTTATTTTTGGTTCCAGTGATATTTTCAGTTTCTATAAGTCTGTAGAAAACATCACTCCATAAATTTACCATCATAGAACTGCACTGGTGCTCCTTAAAAAGCATGTCAAACTGAAGCGTGATGGAATTCCATACACATATTTGACTCAGAAGACTTTCTCCATTAAAGGGAATCGATCACTGCAAACTGCTGGTAGTTTAGAAGCAACATAACCACTATAAACCCATAATAAATATTTTAAATTTTGTATACTTTCTTCATGCAAGAAAAGAATCCAAGATTGCTCTTAATGTTTCAGAATATGAGGTGTAATATATTGACCCTGGAACTATTTATTTTACAATTTGCAGTAGCATACTGATTTGCTTTTTCCTATACATATGAGACAACTGCTTACATGAATAGGAAGCATTAACAAATACATAAATTCAGTGTTTCATGTTCATTAACATTAAATACATTAACAGTTACAGAAACTAATTTAGAGAAGTGAAAAAATAACAATGTATAGTCTATTTGCTTTACTCACTGGAGGAATATGTGCATGGTAGCCAAAACATAGCCAATAATATCTCCTTATAAAAATGTGTTAAGCAGCGTGCAAATACTACCTTACCTTGAGTATGCATGCCGCCTGTGTGACCAGCGGCAGTGTGCAAGTATTGTGTAAGGCTGCAGTGGCACAGCCACTTAGCGCAGCTTTGCACAAGCAAGGCAGCAGTGAGATGGCCAACAGGCAACGATGGGCGCACCGCAGGCGGGAGGCATTGAGGGGGCCCGGGCCACCAGGCAGACGGCACCTCCAATACACAGGAAGGAGACTGGCCAGACAAAAGAGCTGGAGACAAGGAGCACCGGGGGCAGGGCAGGGGGCCCAGAGCCTAAAAGCAGCAGGCCTGAGGCAGGAACAGCGGAGAAGGAAGCTCGCCAGCCCACCAGGCTGGGCTCCCTGCTCGCCTTTCTGCAGCCCTGCAGTCTCCTCCAGGCTTCAAACCCCCTTCGGCACCGAGGCACTGGGGATCATAAGGTTAGTGTTCATGGTGATGGTGCTGAATGCTGTGTGAGAGCTGACCACTGGCAGTAAGTGTGAATTAATTCAGTAAGGCTTGGCTTTAATGTTTAAAAGTGGCCTCATTTGTCAGTCTGCTCAACGTGCCAATCTCATAAATCTCTATTTCTTTAACTGTTATATATCTAAGTGGTTATATTCATTTGCAACAACTTTTTATGTGTTCTAACATTTATATGGTTTGTAGACAGCTGTATCTGTTTGTCTTGCTCCTAATGTACTTCACACCATTAGAAAAACACTATGCATTTCCTACTAACAGGGAATTGATGTACTATGGTCCCATGCCTAGTTCCCTATGTGAACTGCAATGTGTGTAAGATGGATAGAAGAAGGGCTGCAAAAAAGCTTTGCCAAATGGAGCACGAGATGTGGAGGATTCATAATGATTTAAGGATGTGTGAACAGAGCTCCAAGTGATGGTGTTGCAGATTTTGCGATGTTGATGTTTTTCATAAGTGCTGCATATGTTTATTTGAGTGTACTCTGTCAGTGATAATCATCTCTCTCTCTCTCTCTCTTTTTTTTTTCCTTTTCTATTTATAGTTTTTCCATCAGCGTTAAGCAATCTCTTTGGAAAGCTCTTTTGTGTAGATTGCCATATCGTACAATCTTTATGTTATGGCCTAAATATTGTCCATTTTAAAGAGAAAACCTGCAACACAGGGCCGTGAATGTCCAGCTGGACTAATGATGAACAACAATATTTTCATAGGTTGGGTTCACTGCTTTACCTGAGGGGGAGGGTGCGTGTGTGTGTTTGTCATCAAGGCTTGGATTTCACTCGTACTTAGTAAAATCTTGTAGTGAAGTGTTAAAGAAATATTTGCCTAGGAAGTAGCTGAACATGATGGGGGAGCACAGGGCCTGTGGAGCTTGACTAGGCTTAGAAACAGGATTCTGCTTTCTAGCCGTAGAGACTTATCTATCACCAATCCTCATCATACCCTCAAGTATTAAGTGCTTCATGCTATACGAAGGAAGTAACCTTGGCCTTCAGATAAGACTGCCTCATAGCGATTTTCCTGCTAGTTGGCAGAATGCTGCAGGCAGATGAAAAGCAGTCCTGTGCTGTGCAGTGTGCCCAGGAGGAACTGAGGAGTTCAGGCTTGTGGCAGAGCTCATCCTCCTGCACCCTGGGGAGCTGAAGCTAGAGATGAGGCACCTCAGTGGGCGCTTCGGCAGCTGGAAGAGTTGTGCTAGGCTGGGACATCAAGATTAGCTTGACTCACAGCTTGAGTCAAGCTTATTTTTTCAAAGTTTCAAATCTGCTTTCCCAGAGTGTCTGAATTGGAGAGGGGATGCAGCAACATGCTGCAAAAAGGAGAAAATTTTCTAGAGATATCCTGAACTCAGAGCTCATGTGGGACTTATAATTAGCACTCCTAAGTTTCTGAAAGGCCTGTCATGGTCATATGTTTTCTCCCTGGGACACAGAACAGTTTTTTCAAAGAGGCAATCTCTGCAAAAATGAAAATGTGACTGACTGAAGTGTTAAGCAGCTGAGCAGTTTGAAAAATTATTCCTAGGTCTATTAATAGGAAGGGGGATTTGGCACCTCCTGTTTTCCCGTCATAGCCACCCCATGGCATTTAATATGAACATCTGAAGAATACCAGCCATGTTTCCAGATGTAGGAACCCAAGTCTAGCTGACACCTGAGGTGGATGCAGCTTCTCCCAGTGGCACCGCAAACCCCCTCCTGAGGTGGCAGGTACTGCACCCTGGTTGTCCTCACCCAGCCACCCCAGGTCTCCTAAACGTGGAGAGGGAACCCAGCACTGTCCCTTCAGTCACACCTGGCACTAACCTGTGGGGCCTGGGACCCTGCAACTCACACAAGGGAGAGACACTGAGCCCAGGCCATGGCCCCATGCACCCTTGCTAGGCTGTGTTTCACGTGCCTGCTCAGGGACATGTCCCACGCACTCCATCTTGGTCTCCTTTCCCCAGATCAGACCTGAAATCTGGGAGTCCTGGCTCTCATGTAAGTGTCGACACAGGACCCAGCAAGTACTCAAGTCACAGGCCTTCGTGTCAAAAACTCTCCTCCAGCACAAGTTTCATGACAGTTTTGGAAGACAATTCAGCAAGGTATTTGCATACTAGATTGTACTGATCTCTACTTTGTTTTTAAGTGAATTCTAATGCTATGGTACCTAAAATGTGATAGAAGTTGTTACGAGGATGTGTATGTAAGTACACATCTATTACTATCTAGAAAAGGAGGATAAATTAATGGTTATATCAGATTAAAAGTTTCTCCTTATCATGGTAGAAATGATTTTGAAATTTTCAAACTTTTCTGTCTCTGTTCTGCCATTGTATCTGTACATGCTTGTCCACTGTAGGACTTGCATGCATCAGCCTTATGTTAGCTCTTGCAGTAGTTTACTAAGTGTACCTTCCTTTTAAAGATTGAGACAGCATAACATGCTGTATTTTTAAACACAGCTTGCAGCTGGTAATAGACAAGTCTATAGCTAGTACATGTGACAGTGTTTGCTGACAGTTTTTATATGTCTTCCGAAGTTCAGCTCATGAAAACTACCACACTAGCTGAGACTGAAGATCCACTGTCTCAGTTTCTCTGACAGTTTGGTATTAATAGATTTCCAGCTGTCACAAGTGGAAGAGCACTCAGCTTTTTGCAAATGCAAATTCTAAATAACAGCAAGAGAAGAATATATGTTTTTAACATTATTACTCTTAGAGATTTCATTTAAAGTTATATTTGTATAGTATGAATTATGTAAATAACATTACAACTTCTAGGGATTGTGAAAGAAGTGTTCGAATACTGGAAAGCTGGATTAATGAGATGATGAAAAAGATGTTATTTGTATTTAGTTTATGCACGGTCCTTTTCTATCAAAATGTATTTAAATTCCATTTTAAAGCTTTTGTCAGAAATAATCAGGGCTAAATTTTAATTCTATAAATTAAAAATATGTTTGTGGAATTCCATGGAGAATTGCTTTTAGAAATGCACTAAATATTGGATGAGTTGTAAAGTCTGTATGTCATTCAGATTTTGTATGAAAATTCATGTGGTGCAACTTTTAAATAGCGCTTCATAAATTGTAGACATGTAAATTATCACCTACTATATGTTTGAATTACATACAAAGAAGCCAAAAATTTTAGATAACATTTTTTTTATTGAAAGCTCATGATCACTACTTCAGAGCATGTGGTGCTTATTGTATGGAGGAATTGTTTTTTTCTAATTTTTTAATCTTGTGGAAGGTGACAGTAAGGTCTCACATAATTGTTTTTGTTATAACTCTTCTTTTTTGTGTGAGAAAAAATCAGGTAACATTTCTTGATGTGCATATGTTTTGTTGCCCCGTCCAGTTCCTCAGTACTCTTTCCTGCTGTTGCTGACTGAAGATACGAGAGTAGTGGGTATGGTTTGGTGTGATGAAGAAAAGACTGTCTACCAGACACACGGACTGAGTGCTAGAACTAGATGCCATTGCAGGGAAGATAGATTATGATTTAATACAATGTAATAATGAAGAACAGAGGCAGGATTGAAATGTAGGAGGAGACTGACATAAACTGGAAATCTTGCGGACCAATAAGACACAGTCATTAATTTATGAGAAAAGTAGGGTCTACGTGAATGAAGTAATTAGTCAGGCTTTGTTGGCATGGCAAAATGTCTTGATACTCAGTGCCATCAAATATTTCAGACCTTGCATTCTCCTATTGTCTCAGCTTGGGTGAATTTGTAGCTGCCACAGCTTAAGCTAAGTGATGATTATTTGGCCAACTTCAAATGGGTCAAGCCTGCTGGTCACCTAGACATGGCTGATAGATCTGTAGTAACCTGAACACTGAAGACAGGGGAGATCATGGCAGAGTCAAGACAGCCATCCTGCAAGAGGAAAATGTCAGCCTGGGGAAGCAGTGCCATCTGTTCATATAGTTGTGCTGTCTGTAGGCTGGGGGCCTTATAGCAACTAGAAGGAGTTATATCCTGAAGTCAAAGACATGCAAAAGAGCAGATCATGAATGTGTGTATTTCCTAACATTTCCTGCATATCTTTCTAGAAGAGCTGGGTTTGGGAATGTGGTCTAGGTAGCTGCATACAGACAACTGTTGTGGCTTAAGGTTCCCATCTAGGACCAGCCAGAAGCCTGAAGTGAGAGTATTTGTCGCTAAGGCAGGAGGAGGACTATAGAAATGTCAGGCTTTTGCGACTCCCTCTTGCCATGATCATGATTTGTCTATAGTAGGCCTTTAAAGTTTTGCCATCTTAGTTTTTCCCAAAGTGCAATCATCTGTAGTTTTTCATGTGGACAGCTCAGAGCTTTAGGGACTGAAAATTCAATGAGCTATGAAAGTAGCAGGATCCCGTGAGATCTAGATGACCGTTATACAAAGTGAAGTAGGACAGCTTAATACTTACAGGAGGACTTCTTTCATCTTACTTGCCAGATGGGAACTGGAGTTCTGAGCATGGCATGAATTATGCTGAAACATTGAAAAAGCCCTATGCAATAAAGAGAAGGTTTAGGCTCTGGCATACCAGTTGTCACAAAGAACCAAGCTAGGTAACTTGAATCTACCAAGTGCACTTTGATGAAAACTTAAATATAAGATGAGCTGTTCTACTTCTTTCATTGAAGAACTAGAAGTTGAGGGAAAAATAGAAATGAAACTCCTTTTCCTAAAATTTATAAAATACATAACTAAGCCCTCATTTGTGTATTTATTTCTGTCATATTTTGCACTTTGTGAATATTCATGCATTTAAACTCAATGACATTATAAAAGTAAAAAGATTGTCATCTTCCTTGTACAAGCAGAAGGTGGAAGCACAAAAAGTAAAAGGACATTTTAAAAAGTAACTTTACTGGGACTTAGAAGTATTTGGAAATAAAATCCCAAAGTGATTCACCTAAGAGTGCACATGTGAGGATGTGACAGAGATGGGAAGATCTGGATTAGAAATCTTTACTTGGATTCTCTACAACTACTCAGCATTACTCACAGTAGGTTGAGAAGCTAGCACCAGAGTCTTACATGCACTGTATTTTGAAATTGAATTCAAATTTGACTCAGCAGACTGAGAGAAGACATATATTCCAACTGAGAGAAGACATATATTCCAGTGTGGATTCAGTTGAAAAAATGCTGCTTAGGATAAAGCAGCGTGTATTCCTTGTGTGGGAATGAAGCAGTGTTCTTTCTGCCTGATCTGAGTTTTCCTTGTGATTTAAGGCCTTATCTTTACAGTGATGTGTTTGATTTATTTCCACATTACAGAGCGTTTCAAGGTTGAAGAGTGACTTGTACGAAGATGGCAGATCCTGTGAAATTATGGGAGTCTTCCAGGTCTCAGCTTAACAGGCCACAGCATGAACAACCATCCCAGAATGGGGAAGGAGAAAGCAAAGAATCAGAACTCAAATGCAATCTGCTCTTTGTTGTTAAAGAAGACCACCAGGTCCTTCCAGAGCTGGGTAATAAGCTATAAGAGATGGGAACACATAGGTTTTGTACAGGAGAACCGTGAGAAAAATGCTGAGGACTGGCCAGAAATCCTGCTTCAGGTGCAGGATTTAGCCTAATCAGTTGGCTCATCTTTAACATGTCTGGATCTTGCTGTTCTAATATTAGTTCAGGTGTCCATACCAACAGATCCACTATTGCATATGGCAGCTCAGTAAAGAACATGAAAACAGAAATCATGGAGTCAAATTTCCATCTTTGTCTTTAAAACAAGGGGCTTTTGATTAAAAAAAAATAAAATTGCATTAATCTGGGGATTTGCATACATAGGGAAAAAAAAGTGGGTTTTAGCCTGTTGTGTTTGCCTTAAGGCAAGATTTTCAAGATTTTTCAGGGGATGGACCTGATGGTTGTAACATATTATTATAAAATAGAAAACAGAAAGCCCTCTGGATTGGTGTGTGCCTCAGGTATAAGCATAATTAGTTAACCTTGTGCTGAATTTTTAACTATTAATTGAAACAGCATGTTTATTTGAGTTGGATTCAACTTTCTAAGCATGTTGATTGCAAGAGGTCAAATTAATGGTCATAATGTCTGCTTTTGGTCTTAGAACTTGGTGAGACTGCTGTTCTTTCTTCAGTAATAGAAAATAGTAGCAGTGCCTTTGAAAACATCAGGCACAATGGTTTTCTACCCCTTCGTAGTATTGAGCACAATGAATGTTATGGTCTTAGTTGTTGGATTCAGTTCAGATTTTGATATATGTGAGCAGATGCTCTATGATTCTATATTTAAAATGCTACTTAAGGAGAAATAGTTAAGCCAATGGTCAGTTAGTTTTTGCCTCTCCAGAAACTATTCTGTCTCCTGGTCCTTCTACCCATGTTCCTTTCCACACAAAATAGATATGCTCCCCAGAACTGTTTTGTTCTCTGCAACTGTGAGTTTAATTCTGAAATCTGAGGATAAAAGTTTCACTTTTGCCACTGAGGTGGCAAAACTTATTTTTAGATTAGACTTAATTGTTTATTATCATGGTTTTTAATACTTTTTTTTTTTTTTTTTGATCTGCAGTTGTTGATAGATTTGAGGAAGAAGTGGTGAGTCATGAACAGGAAGGGCTTAGGCATGCACAAGAGCGCAAGGTGTCATCAGGACGTCAAAGAAAAAACACCTTCCAAAGTAATGACATACCTCATCAGAAGTCTCAAAACACCAGTTTGAAAATAGCCTTTCAGGACAAACAGACAGGCAAGTCCAAGGAGAGATGCTGTAACATGAAAGAATTCCAGGACACTGTTGTCTTGGGGAGAACTTCAACAGGGCAGAGTCCTTATCAGTGTACTGTGTGCAGGAAAAGTTTCAACTCTAGCTCAAACCTTCTCCATCACCAGCATAGCCACACAGCAGAGAAGCCTTACAAGTGCACGCAATGCTGGAAGAGCTTCAGCCGCAACTCAACTCTGACTCAGCACCAGGAGGTACACCGGGGGGAGCGCATCTTTGAGTGTTCAGAGTGTGGTGATCATTTTACACGCAGCTCCAGCCTCACCCTCCATCAGAAGACTCACAAAGGGGAGAAGCCCCACCTGTGCACACAATGTGGTCAGCGTTTCCACAGTGCTTCTGAGCTGGTGGCTCACCAGGGCTTACACTCATGACTTGTGGTCCATACATGAATGTGGGTCTTTGGACCTCGAGGTGTAAACTGGAACCACAGGAATAAGGATGAAACAATCCCTCTCTAGGACCAACCTCCCTACATTTATTTTTCTTCATTTGGTCTAACTTAAAGATATGTGGTGTCTAAGGAGGTGTCTAAGATTGGCAAAGCAAAGAAAGGGGTAGTCCCTAATGTAAAGAGCCTGGTTGAAAGATCAACTAATTACTAGGAGAGTCCAGTGGCTGAAGAATGCCTTCTTCACATAAGATGTGAAGATGATTGAGATGGAATTAGGAGTTTGAATTTATTTAAAAGACAGTATTGGAGAGAGAAATAAGATAGATTCCTAGGCAAGATGTGAACTAGGTACTTTAATGATACAGTTTTTGTTCCAAGTTCAGCTACAGGATGACCTTGTGCTAATTACTTTGTCTGTCTATGTCTTTATGACTCATAGTTTAAAAAAGGAATTAGTCTAACTTAACTTTATCAATGTAGATTATGGACTAATGTGTGCCCAGATCCTAAAGTCATTGGAGACAGATGTGTTTAGTAGTATAAAGAGCAACATGTTCTGAAACGTGTATGTCTCTTTCCTTTGCTTTTAAAAGGAAGATTTTTCTAAAACTTTGGGCTTTAGAAGTTCTTTCATCTTTTAATGGAATTTGGGTTGCTAACTTGCAAAGACACTTCTGATATTAGCCTTTTGTAATTATCCAAGGTTTCTGAAGGGATCATTGCTAGATCAAACATGAAAATGAACCATTCTTTCCTGCTCAGTGCTTATAGATCTCTGTAAGTCCTTAGCATCAGCAGAAAAAGTTTGATACTGAAGTTAAGAGTCTTCTACTAGAAATCTTTAATTCCCAGCTTGCCTAAATATCTGCTTGAGGAGAAAGGAATGACTTGAGAATTGTACTTAAATATGTGAGAACAGTGTCTCTACTGTCGTGGAACTCATAGGGATAGTCAGACCGGAAATGAGAAGAGGATTTTCATTTTATTCTACAATTACACTTTTAATGGAAAATGGAGCAGTTACTGAGAATTGAGATGACTGTCCCCTCTTGACTTTCACCAACTGAATAGTTTCTTCAGTAGAAATTAGAACCCATCTTATGGGTCCACAGAGATCAGGGAATTGATGTTTGTGGCAATTCCTACCCTAAAGAAATTTCACCATTTTTCATTGAGATGAAAGGATGAAGAGAGACAGACACCCTGGGGTACCAAAGCAGGCTGGAGAAGTGTCTGTCATTACAGCCTACGCTCTTGATGTCACTTCACCGTGCTTTATGGCTGTGTTGGCTTTGTTGTGGTTGTAATTAGCAGAGTAGTACCCGAAGACTATTTTTGTATATTAATAAACAGAAAATATCTTAGAATTGTGCTTGGTTTTATCCTCCTTTCACAGAACTTGCCATCCAAAGTATCTGGAACAAGGATCTGAATCAGGAAATCCTACCATTTAAAAAAAATGTTTTCTGATACATGATATCTCTGACCCACTGGTCACTTTGTACATAGTTTTAGAAGCCTAAATTCACCTAATCTTCTAGTGCCTATCAGTCTCCATGTCCCTACTTTTTGTAACAGAACCCAGTAAGTTACATCCTGTTGTTTCTTTTCCACTCTAAAAATCTTTCTTTGTTTTTCCCACATCTTCCTCATGCTTAACTGACAGAATCAGATATGAAATCATATAGCAGGTAACAGAACATTGTTGGAGTAGACAAGTGAATACAGGTTGTTGTGGCTGATTTAGATAGTAGGTAGTTAAGCTGATAACGTTTGTGGGAAGTTCAGATATCCCGTCTTTCTGTGGGATGGTAAGTTCCATGTATTCCAGGGCTCCCTTTTAGTTCCTGAAGCAGTTATCTTTGATTCTTAACTGTTCAGTTAAGCTTAACTAGCAGCACAGTGACAGAGAGAAATCCCGATTGGTTTGGACCAGTAGTGGGTTGGGCATCTTGAAGAGTGGTCCATCTGAAAAGTCTGAACACCTAGAGGACTGAAAGTTAGAGCATATTGCACTGGATATGAACTTGCTTTGTGTCCTGAACCAGAACTAATCTTTTCTAGAACTAGACACACTTCAGATCTGGAAGCAGGAGTAATAGTTTTCTTCAAATTGCTGGGGAATATTAATGCTTTCTCTTACTCTAAACAATCGAGATGAATTGTGGAACAGTTATTTTATTACTAATTTAGTTCAGTTCTGATATAGATGGTTGACATATTGTCAATTGATTCAGATTATGTAGAGAGTTTGAGGAGGGCTTAATATTTCATTATAAAGAATAATTAGTACAATAAATTTGCTACTGATAGGAGATGTAAAATCTTAGAAAAAATATCAATTTTATGTAAGCAAGCTGTTTATTTGACACGTTTCCATACAAATTTATTTGGTGTTCAAGAACTAATGTAATCTGACTTCAGAGTTTTGTTTTTTCATAAATCTAAACAATGCTGAGGATGGGAGCACAGACTGACAGATGGACACCACTCATTCTACATGAGTCCAGTCATCCTTGAGATAACAGATGATGACTATCTGTTCTCATCTCAGCTGGATGACCTGCTATCTGAAGTGGGTCACAAAAAAAACAGTTGTTTTTTTTCCAAGTAAATCAAGGCAGTGTCTGAACTTGTACTCCTGCCAGTGCGGATGATGTTATCTGTGTTTGGTCACACAGTTAATCTCCCATTTAAAAAGAAAAAGAACAACAGGAATTGTCCTTTCTACCATCCAGATAATTTTCTAGATGTTTGCCTTATACTGTGTTGTCAGTTGATGGGATGGGGCCAGAATTGTGGTTTCTGAGGAGTGAACTCTTACAACTTGGAGGCACACATTAATGGAGAGAAAAATTAATTTCAGGTTGGAAAATAACTAAAGATGATGCTGTTAACAACAGAGCTACTATTGTTCTTTGATGCCAGGAATGTTTTTTTCTTTATATGTTTGTACAAAGTCCTACATAGTGAAATCATGCTTTACAATGGACTCTGTTAGGGCTGCCCCTCCAGAACTGAGGGTGAAAAGTGTGAGTTGGGGTGTAGCACTGGACTTTTCTAAGTGCTTCCAGGGAGGATAAAGAGACACTTCTTTAGCAATGCCTCTCTACTGTGATCCCAAGAAGATATCTCTGAGCAGTCAAGATTATTACACCCAGCCCTTTCCACCAAAAGGCCTACTTCTGAACTTCCATAGTTTCGTTACTCCTAGAATCCTCCCAGTTCGGCAGTCAATCTCTCCTAACGGTTTGTTTTGTTTAATTTAACCTTATGTGTTACAGAGTGCATGTGTGGGGCTCAACATCTCTTAGGATGGAGGATTACAAATACAATGGAAAAGGAGATAATTCTAAATTCCATCAGTATTTGAAGAATGTTTAGTGCCTGTAGCTGAAGAGTAAAATGCATAACAAGAAGGCATGGGCAAACTGAATAGTCACTAATTCAGTTAAGGGAAAATCAGTTTTTACTCTACAGAAGGTATTTCTGGTATTTTCAGGTGTCTCAACAATTTTTGCTAAGTGTACTTTTTTTTACAGATTATACCAAGAGGATAAAAAGTCCATTTCATGGGAGTGTGTTGACTTCATAAGGTTTAAATTCCTGGTAGACAATGCATACTTTTGACACAAGCAAATGAAAGCAATGCATTGCGTCACCCTTGCCTGTACAAGAAGGTGCTCTTATAAATGCAAATACACCACTTTTTAACTTATTTAAAGTAGAAACACTTTTGGTTTTGTCTCCTTAATCCTTTCCTTGCCCTGCTGACAGTCTCTTTTAAATTCCACATGCCATCTCCATCTTCCCCTGCCCCCATTTCCATTTCCATACCCCGTGGCCAGCTTGTGATCCAGAAAGACGGCATCCACATTCTGTTTTCTCCTACTTGGTAAAGGAGGAAAGGCCTGAAAACAGGAAAGACCTAGAAACACAGACGAGAAAGTCTGTTATCTCAAGTTCTGCCTAGATCATTAGAAGATATATGGCAGATATATACATGTATTATATATATATACATAATACACATATTTTTTTTCACTACAGTTCTGGACTACACACTATTAATACAGATAAACCATGCATTCAGGCTCTAATGTGTCTCTAAATCCCAGTATTTTATTTTCCCTAAACCAATGTGGAAGGTGTTAGAAACACTTCAAATTCCAGCCTGTGTCAGACAAATCCTCCCTGTGCTTACAATAATACTAAAAAACAACCTTTGCAAAAACTCCCAGCACCAGAAAAAAACATTTCATATAAAAAGTGTCATCTAAATATGGAAGAGCTATTATCTGTTCTGCCTTTAATAATGTAAGCAGCAGCCAATGTGAAAGTTAATTTATAATACAGGGAAAATAGCACCTACACATCTAAAAGAACTTGCATCTTTCTAAGTAACTCTTCAAGGGTTAAAAAGTTGTACTAGCCTTTTTCTTTTTGAGTATTTTAACTGATTGGTTAAGTCTTTTTTTCACAACTTTAATTTACAGTTACCACTTCCACGTGTGTACATTTTAATGATTTGGTCTTGAAAATGTTACTTATCAAATTAGCTTATTCCAGAAAAAGAATCTGTGTGAGGTAGTCTTGCTCAATGAGCCTTATTTCTTGAATTACTTCCTTAGTTTATGAAAATGCAATTATTATGCAATTACTCTTAGATAATTAAATAATGACAAAAGTGCTTAATTTATTAAATTAAGTAGCTTTAGCTCATCCTGCCTTTGAATGTACAAGCTTAACTCCTGTTAACATTAGGGGAACTTTCACTTCAAATATTGAGAGAAAGTACCCCTTTTTCTGTATTATGGAGTAGCTGTTGAACTGCTGTAAAGCTTTTAGATTATTAAAGGAGACTTTGCAAGCAGCGTATTTTTAGTTTTTGAAGTTAAACATATAGTGACATAAGTATTCAGGTATTAGATCTGAACTTTTCAGTAAAATCATTATAATTTTCTTTTTACATTTCTGGGGAGATGATGTGAGCAGGGACTGTCCCCTTACTGAATTGTTTGCAAGATCCTGTTAGATGGGAGGATTACTAAAACCTCATGTCTTAAATACTGAAGTAGGATGTGTGCTCCTTTGTCAACTGTCCTGTTGCTTGGCAGGTCCTTGTCTTTCTTTCCCCATTCAGAACTTTTGCAACTAAATAGAAACTAAGTAAGTGGGCTATCTTCTTTTGCAACTCAATAGAAACTGAGAAGTCAGCTCTCTCTTTACAGAAACGTTATTGCTGATAAGCTTATTAGTTTTCATATGCCCAACTCAATTTCCTACCATGGTCTCAGCTACAGAGTATTAACGAATATACTGATTGCAATTTTTTTATTAAGGTTATTAATTTTGTTGGATATGAAGGAGTGAACATTGAGCGAGCACTGAAGCATTGAGTTTTTGCTTTAGGTTTTGGAAAAATAAAAGAGGAGGAAAGAGGTGAAGTCACTGTGTTGGGAAAACTAAAAATAAAATTCGGACTCACAATAAAAAATATAATTTCTCCAAAAAGAAAAAGGCTACAGAGTAGCATATAAAAGAAAGAGAAGGAAATCCTCAACATACTACCTTTGAGTTCCTTTTCATTTACATTAATATAGTGAAATTCCAATGGAAGTACAGCTTTTGAATGTCTGTGTGAGGAATGCACATTCTGTGTATCAGATTTGAGATGTGTGTGGCCCTGTATGGGTCACGAAAGAGCCTCTCTCACATCCTTTCTATGTGAATGAGTAGGCTCCTTAAAGGAAGAAAAGGGAATACTAACTGCTAGTTTTGTAATGACTTTTTTTTGTATGACTTCAGAATAGTCTATTGAGGAATAGAAAACAATGACATTTCTGAATAGCTGAATATTTATTAGTGTAGACAGTATTTACTTACACAAATATATTGCTGGAGATTAGAAGTTATTATTGAAGTCAGAAGAAATACTGGATTTTAAAACTAATATAACAACAATGAAACCTAAAGGATTTCATCTCAGTTAGTGTTTTGTTACAGTGAATTTCATCAAACTTGAGCTTTTTAAAAATAAAAAAATAAAAAAATTATCTGTTTGTGATCTCTTTATGTTGATTGTGTTCTTTGTTCTGAAAGTCTTATCTCTTGCTACTGCCCAGATATTCAGAAACTACTATGTGTGAACATTTATTTAGTATTCACTAGCACATCTTTTTGACCTTTTTGGCCTTTTTACAGCATTTATCATGAGTAGCCTACCTGATTTCTTTCCAGTTGCAGCGGTTGCTGTGAGACTGGTACAGTGAGATACTACACTCTTTTACTTGCAGTCTTTTCATTACTTCTTTCTTTCCTTGAATAGAAACAGTACAGAAGGTCTGTTCATAACATTTGTGAAACA